TTCTTTGGCAGAGAAAATAAATAAATAAATAAATACATGTTACACTACATATCCTGACAACTGTGTTGTTTGTGAGTTTTACAGAGTATTAAGTTCTTACAGAGCACTGAAAAATTTGCAGCTAATAACCATGTATTCCTTGTAGCAGTTATCTTTAACTCATGGGCATGGAAAAAGAGGCATCTGAAGCTCATACTGAGCTGTGAGATCATGCCCTTGTGAGAGTTCCTGCTGCCCATGTGTCATCTTCATTGCCCACAAAGACAGAGATAACAAGCTACATTCCCAAAGGTTCTGTACGTATTTTCCTTCTGTAGCAACTTTAAGAGAGCCTGGACTCCAGCAGTGCAGCTCCTAGAAGTACATGTCCCTCTGTAGGTCCCAATCTTTCTAAGCCTATGGTGCTTTAAACTCACCATCTACGAGGTCTACTGCCTGGCACAGCATAAAAGTTTGATCTTCCATGTGATGTCAGGATTCACACTGCATGTCCACGTTTGTCACATAGCTCTGGTTACAGCACTCTGGTACTATGATACTGTGGAGGTCAATGGAATTAGTCTCTATAAGGGACGCAGCTCTCAGATGAGATTTCCAATATACAACAGCAGCCTGCCTGGAGCTGCTGAGTCAGGCACAAAGCTGCTGAGACACAGCATTATCAAAATATGTTTGGGGCAGGAGGCTTGTTATCTGCCTGTGGCAGATGAGTGCAGGCACGTTAAGATACTGCATTAAGTTAGTTGGTTATAAGCAAAGGAGAAGAATGATGCTCCAGAGTTATAGGTCTGCTAGAATTGAAGTTTGGATAGTGTGCATTCAGAAATAATTTTATTTTCCAGTAATGACAGTATGTGATATCGAGTAAGAAATGAAATTGAAGAATTGATCTTATTCTTCAAATACAGGATGGCTTCAATATTAAAATTAACATATAAATTTAGCATCAATCTTATTCCCCCACTCACGTCCACATGAAGAATCAATCACAGAAACAGTATTCTGGGAGAATCAAAATCGTTTTTCAAACGTGTCAGCACGAACGCGAGGCGAACCTGTTCACCGGGCGTCCGACAGCCGTCGCGGAGGTGGCCCTGGAGCCCCAAGGAGGGCACGTCGGGGCCTCGGGGAGCGCACAGCCAACCGCGGAGCCGCAGGGCGGGACGTGGGGCAGCGCGGCCCCGCGGAGCACAGCGCTGTGTTCCGCTTCTAGCCGCCCCGCGGGGCGGCTGAGCGCAGAGCAGCAGGCAGAGGGGCTTCCTGCGGCGTTCCCGTCTGTATCGCGTGCACAGGCGGGTGGGTGGTGAGCCGTGAAATCGCTGTCCTGATGGGAGGAGCGCTACAGAGAGGTACCTGGGCTCAGCCGCGCCGCGCACCCGGCGCAGGAACGGCGCCTTGAAATGAGGATAAGTCCTCTTGCTACAAGTGACTCGTGGATGCGGTATCGCCCCCTACAAAATAACAAATAAAAGTGAAATAGGGCCTCTAGTTGCAGGACTTCAGCAGAGACCTCACCAGATTTCCAGCTAATCTTCTCGATGCTTAAACTCATTCTCTATGGTTTCTGAACACGCAACCGGTACCTCCAGTTTCAACTCTACTTCTTCAGCCATGCATCTTCTTCCTCTTTTAACCACGAGATGAAGCCAGAAAACACAGGGCTGGGATGTGGTACTGCAGGGACCAGGGCTGGGAAGTGCATGGCCTGAGACAGAAAAGGTGTCCTCAGGAAGGACTGCTGAGGCAAAGGAAAAGGTGTGAGAGGGTAGTGCATGTGGGGCAGGTGTCAGGAGTGGAATGGGATGGGATGGGGTGGGATGGGATGCAATGGGATGGGATGGGATGGGATGGGATGGGATGGGATGGGATGGGATGGGATGG